CTACTTCTGATAGATAATTTTCATCTCATTGTATTTCTTTACTTCCTTTGAATCATTGATTATTCATTCCCAGACATTTTTTACCTTTTTGACTCCCATGAAATCACACTTACATGGCTCTCTCTACATTTCTCTGACGATTCCATATATAATGTCTTCATGGGTTTTGTTTGTATTCTCCCGCCCCTTAAATACTGGTGCCTTTCAGAGATGTCACTGTCACTCAGAGATCTGTGCTACATTCCATACACTTCTAAGACTACATGTGGTCCACTTTACATTTTAACTACCATGTACATGTTTCTCAAATTATTGTTATATCTCCAGTCCAGAATTTGGTCTTGAACCAAATTGGTCTTGAACAAAAAGTCACTCTGGGATAACTTCACATGGATGTCCCACAAACACCTCACCTCAAATGTTTAAAATTTGATTTCTGTCCTGAACCTTCATGTCTTTGTATATTTTCTAATTTAATAAAATTTGTATCCACTCATTTTATCAAATCTAGAAATACTTGCAATCTTGACTCCTTTTTAACACTTCCACATCCAATTGATTACCAAGTACTACTAATTTTATCTCTTAAACATTTATCAAACTCATCTCTTCCTCTTTATTTCTACTACCACTGTCCTGGTTTAATCTCTCACTGGGTTACTGAAATAGCCTTCTGTCTAAACTTCCTGTTTCCCATCATATCTTTTTAAAATTTATCCCCCACATATATGGACTTTGGTCTATGGACAATAGGGACCATAGTTTGGGTGAGCGTAATAAGTAATTGAACTATGGATATGGTCCAACGGATATGGATATGGATATAGACTATGGATATGGATAAGAACTTGTAGAGAATTGTTTAAATATATAGATTAGAAGGAAATTGGGTAGTGCAGTTCTGTGGTACAAAAGGGTGAGATAAATTGGAGTCAAGAATGGCGTGAAATTTTACATTTTGGGAAAATATAGATATTATGGTATCGTTCAAGATAAGAAATGAAGGCAACAATGGGGGAACATGTGATCATGATTTAGAACATAGGTTGATATGTCTGAAGGATCTCGTAGACAAACAAAAATGATGAACTAAAAACAGGCATCAAGCCTAGAGATAAAGATTTGGGAACTATCAATCTGAAGTTGGTAGTTGAAGCCAAAAAAGTAGACAAAACCACCTAGGGAGCCTGTGAAAAGAAGACTGAGCATAGACCACCTAGAAACAATAGTTCAAAAAGGTTCAAAGTTTCAAAAGGGAAAGAAAATCCAGTTATAGGTAGAGAATAATATGCAAATGGAGAACCAAGAGAGTCAAATCATGGACTTTAGGCAAAAGAGTTGAAAGAAGGAAGGTGTGCTAAATACTATTAAATGTTAATGTAAAGGACAAGTAAGTTATGGACTGGGGAGACAAGCTGAATTTTACACTAGATACTGGATGAACTTTTCTTATCAATATCCCTTCTTCTGTAATATTCTCACCATGATCTCTGATTGGCGGACATACAGTATTAAGTTTTCCATATCTTCATTTACTCCTTCGTTTCAATCTATCAATGAACTGTTCTAAACAAAAACCCTTTCTAAATGGTTAATGGTGCTTTATTTCTCTTTTTCATCTACAGATGGGAGCCGTTATTAAACAGTCGTCACCCATAGTCAGTGTAACAGCAGTAGGAAACTTTCATGAAGCATGTATCTTTCTTTTTAATCTTTTCATTACTTTTTATGTCAGGATATGTAAATACCTATTTATGAATGATGATTATTGTATTCACGTGTATGTGAAAAAGAATGGTGATATCTTAATATTTTCAAAGACAGTGATGTTTGATCTATTGTGTATCCAAATCCCATTAGATTAAACTCCATGAGATTAAAGACCATGTCCTGCATTTAGTGCAGCACCCTGGCATACAGTAAGTGATAAATGGTTAAATAAAAGAGGCACTAGCAACAAAGAAAGGTATGGCAAAAAGTAGATGAAGGAGTAAAGGGAAAGAAGGGGATTACATTGGAGAATAAGACACAAATGGATAATTTAATATGTTCTGCTACTGAATAATTGCAAGTTTGATAAAAACTTCATTAATTATAATTTCAATTTATATTCTTATGGGATCATTCAATTTGGGGCTGGCTGATATCTTACCTTTGCACTATTTATGAAGTTTTGTTTTGCTAAGTAAACTAATAAGATAAAATTATTTCAAGAAGTTTATTTAAAACTACTCGTGAGGCAAACTTTTTAAGGACTTCAAGCTTAATTATTAAATGAAAATGAATTCCACAAATTATCCATGTCGTGCTTTCACTAAAGTCAATTCAAAGATATCTCTATTTGGAAAAATAAATGTACCTAAATGCAAACTGCACGTTGTTTCTCATAGGATTATAAGTAGGGTCTTTGGATTTCCTTTAGTTCAGCATCCTACTGTAATCGCCACCCTCACTATCATCATTATGATATTTATTGTTTTAAGCAACATCATCAGTACCATTAACATAGTGTCTCCTATGTGACAGGCATTGGACGGTTCACAGCATCTCTGTGAAGTATATGTTATTATCCAAGTTTCTTAGATGCAGTAACTAATCCTTTGGAGATTAAGATGCTTAAGATGACATAATTATTAAGTGACAAAACCAAAATTTTAGCCTATTTCTATGTTGACTGCTCAAAATACCTCCAAAAAAGGCCTGTTGACAAAGAAAGTTAAGTTTATTAGTCCTTTTGCAGTAAGGAAGAAAGCACCTTGACTGAGTGTATTAGTTTCCAGGGCTGCTGTAACAAAGCCCCACAGATTGAGTGACTTAAACGGCAGAAATTTATTGCTTAACAGTTCAAGGTGTTATCAGGGTTGGTTCCTTCTGAGGTCTGTGAAAGAGAATCTGTCTCAAGCCTCTTGCCTAGCTTCTGATGGTTTTCTGGCAATCTTTGGAGTTCCTTGGCTTGTAGACATGTCACTCGTATCTCTGCCTTCATGTTCACATGGTTTTCTCCCTGTGTGCGCGTCTGTCTCCAAATTTCCTCTTTTTTATAGGGACATTAATCATATTATATTAGGGACCCACTGTACTCCAGGATGAATTCATTCTAACTCAGTAGTTATATCTGCAATGATCTACTTCCAAATAAGATCACATTCTGAGGTATTGGAGGTTAGGACTTCAACATATGAATTATTCAACCCATAACACTGAGTCTTAGTAGACTCTCAAAAGGAGAAATTAGGGAAGGATATTTGTGCTATTTTAAGCCTGAGTTGTGTGGTTTTATGGTAAGTCTTAAAAAGTGGCATACTGATTGAGACTGGTCAGAGTTTCTGACAAATTAATTTTAGTTTGGCAGGCAAAAAGTTTTGATAACTTATCTGTTAGTCTTGATGGGTAAGATGTTTGGTTGATTCATGGTCTTATTATCCAAAAGTGGGTATGTGCTGGAGCAAACAGCTACATTACTTTTGTTTGATCACAGTATTGCTCAAAATTGGGTGTGAGGAGTATGCCTGATCACAGAATTGTTTAACATATAGGGAGTTGCAATTATGATGGTTTCAGTTCTCATCTGTATGACTTCAGAATCTATCAGCTACATCATCCTAACTTTCTTTCCTACCATTGATATATGCCATGGTAGTCTGTTCTGCTGTTGGATTGCTCTAATAGCTCTAGTAAATAGTTCCAATAGAATTTAGCTTAAATTTGTTACCCTGTCGTGGTCATTGTTGATATAGACTGGGTTGAATCTTTCTTCCCCATAATAGCCTTCAGAAAGATTATCTATCTGTCTGTCTGTCTATCTGTCTATCTATCTATCTATCTATCTATCTATCTATCTATCTATCTATCATCTATATATTTACATATATCCTGTTCCAAGTCTTCTATTTTCTAGACAAATAATCCTAGTTATTTCAGGCTTTCAAGTAAAAACTATATTTATATGGTAAATAATAATCATTTTGTGGGATACTAATAATGTTGATAACCACAAAAGCATTGTTTTAGAGAGTGTCTTCATCCATTTGGGCTGCTATAACAAAATATCACAGACTGTCTTAGAAACAACAGAAATTTATTTCTCACAGCTGGAAGTCCAAGATCAGGGTGCTGGCATGGTCTGGTGAGGGCCCTCTGTCAGGTTGCAGGCTTCTTCTTGTATCCTCACATAAAGGAAGGGGTTAGGGAGCTCTGTGGGACCTCTTTCACAAGGGCACTAATCCCAATTATAAGGATGGAGCCCTCATGACCTAATTACCTCCCAAAGGCCCCACCTCCTAATATCCTTACTTTGGAGATTAGAATTTCAACATAAGAATTTGGGGGGGACATAAATGTTCAAACTATAGCAGATAGTAACATTATCAATACCTGTGCCTTCTTGCATCCTGAAATTTGTCTACACCTACAAGTACAAAATGACTAATTACAGTATCTCTGATTCATTTTAACCAGCTTAACACTAATGTTCCAATCAACGTTATAGCTTTATTGCAGCATGTAAAGCCATAAATAGGGCTTACTATTGTTTTCAAATGAGTTTTGCAATATTTAAAATATCATGTACACTTTTGCCTAGGATTTTCTAGTTGGCAATCATGTTTATAAACAACATTTCATTCTGCCAGCCTTAAAACATAACATTTAATATATAAAGTAGAGAAGGAGTTTCAGAGATGAGTTTTCCAGTCAAAGTCTCTTACTCTACATTTAAGTCTGCATTTGACAAAAAGGGGAAGACTGCAAAGAATTATCTCTTCTGAATAAGAAAACATTCTTTTGAAATATAAATAATGTCAAGAGTTCTAGAATTCTATTCATTTTAATTTATAAATGTTCTGTAATTGGTTAATTAAATCAGTAGAATGAAGTCTAACAGTCAACAGAAACCTTAAAGCAAATTAGAGTCCTTTTGAATTTTTAAAGAAAATCCAATAAGCACTTGAAAAATAAAATCAATGAAGAGTTTTAAATGTTTCTTTTCTGATTTTCCACAGGGTCCAAGTTTTCTCTCCGAGGCCCTTTTTCTTAAACATGCAACAAAAATTGAAGAAATGGATCCTTTTTTCAACCTTCATGAAACAATTACCAAGGTAGGAGAGGAATGCATTCATGAGCAGGTTGGGAAAGTTTTGTTCTTTTTTGTTGGTAGATGGAGGAAAGGAAAATAAGCTATCAAGATAAATCTATATATTTTCATTTGTGGAATATACTACAAAGGATTTTAAGTACCTCCTATTATTTTACAAAGGACTAAAGATGATAAGCAACTCAATCAAAATCATACAGACTGATAGCTGATGATTTGTATTCAAAATTAATCCTTAATAAAACAATGTGTTTTTTTCCTTAATCTGAAAATAGATTTGTGGTATATTCTCAAGTATACTCCTTCACTTTAGATCAAGGACAATACAAAATGGCTCTTTGAATTTCTGTATCTTCAAAGTTTTGTTTCAATATTTAAGTTACTTGTTTGGTGGTGGTACTTTTTAGATGTAGTAAAAAAACAGGACTCCTTTTTTTAAAGAAAAATTAGACTGCATTTATAGTAAGTGTTTTTACTCTATGATGGTCATACCTATGTTTTTACTGTATATTCTTAGCTGTGAGTTTATAGTATGGAGAAAATTAAATTCTGTAGTATGGAGCAAATAAATTTAATGTTCTGACATCATATGAATGTTTACATTTACCAACTATTTGTTTAACCTGTCATAACTTGCCTTTTGGGGATAGTTTGTAGAGAACATTGGCATTTCAGTACATTTAAAATAATCCATATTTATATATGCTTAGTTGAAATATTAAATCATTCGTAAATCTCAGTGAAATTTTACAAGGCTGTAAAAAGAAGAAATGTGATATAATGAACTGAACTCAATGAGTGGCAAAGAATGAGCTCAGAACAGAGACTGGAATTCTAGATGTACCCTGACATTTAAGAGAGGTGTGAATTTATTTTTTTCTGAACTATTGAAATAAGAGGAGATTGGACCACATTTTAGTTGAAACTCTCTTAAACTCAAAATATCTGAATCTTAACTGCATTTACAATGGTTCCCTTTCCAATCTATTTCAGTTCCTTGACTTAGTTTTTAATATACCTATCCTTTGATTACCTGTTATTATTTGCATATAGCAAGATAGAAGTGGCCTCCAAATAGTAACTCCTTAATATTTAAAATCTTTACTGTATTCCTAATACTTGGAGAGATGATAGACAGATAGAAATATATATCTGTATCTATATATATATCTACACATCTGTTTGAATGAGTATGTATATATCTATATATATTTAGATGAGTGTGTATATATATATTCATTCAAGTATTCTGGATACTTAGAGTCTAGATTTATTTGCTTATTTTTAAGTGAAGCATTAGACAATTTTAGGGCAATGGAAAAGTAGTAATATTTTTTCCATTTTTTCCTGCTTTCCTTTCGACCAGGAAACTCATGGATTTTGTGAAAGGGGTAATTTGAAACCATGCTGATATCGGATACATAATGAGATGATAGTGTCTATCACATGAAATCCCAGCCAGAGTAAATTCTAAGCTTCTGATTTTAGAGGTATAAACACACTAGTGATTCTCACTGCATGAGGTCTTGGCCACACTGCAACGCCTGAGAGCATGTTGAGAAGCAGGGATGGGTCAGCAAGGGAATAGGGAAGCACAGAACATAGCCTAAACATACATATGAGTCAGTACTTACTGTGAAACACACAGAAAATAAGAGACCATTTGAGAGAAGACACAAATTTGTGCACAGATATTACTACCTGTTCTACATGAATTTTCAAATATATTTCATGTATAAGCAAATGTTTAACCCCTTAAATGGATGTTGGACAGAATTTTATATCTATGAATAAACAAAATCTGCTTAAGTGCAGAAGCAAGTGTTCTATGATGTGTTTTTATGACCGCATATATTTATCTAACGTTAATACTGTTTCCCCAGTCATCATGTTTACCTATGGTAACCACTCATGTTGTAGACGTAGACCAAGGGAAGAAATTGTGCTTCAGAAGTTCAATCTTATTTCACTAATAGAAGAACTTGCAGAATGATAAAAAAGAAGTGTTTAATAAGTAGTTCATTTTAAAGTCAAATTTTCTTTGACCAACAACAAAATAAAAATATAAATACAGAGGGGTTGACTAGAATACGTGACTAGGAAATATGGAGCATTGATTTTAGTTCTCTCTTGGCTACCAACTTGTTATTTTGTAGAACTTTATTTTATACAACAAAAAGGAGTGCACTCCTAATGGCTTTTCTCACTAGGATTCTGTGAGGTTGAGAAGGTGATGTATACATTTTCTCTTGAAATGTAATATGAATGTAATTGTGTATAATTATTGACACTTTAAAAAATACTAGTGCTAATGTCTTCAAAGTAGGCCCTTTCCTGCATTTTCTGAATTTAGTTTTAACTTTAAAGAAAAAAAAAGGAGTAACTTAGATGTGAAAACATACAACTAAACTAATTAATTAAATGCTGAAAATACACCAATAAGTTAGTGTGTACAAATGGAGTATAAAATTTAACTTGTGAACGGTTGAGGTCTTGAGAATATTTTGTTTCAGTAAGGATAACAGTGGTATTATCACAGTATATCCTATGTTTAGTACACTCCTATTCCACATCGTAGGGTGATGTTATAGAAATAGTACTGGACTTTGAATAAAAAGACCTAGCTAGGTAAGAATTCTGTCACTGTCGATTATGAAAAAATGATATGAAATATGAGAAACACTTAGTAAAATGATAAGGCACAATTATTATTGATATTACATCCTTATTAAAACATTTTCAAGAAATCAAAAGTAATTGAAATATTGAAGGTACTATTCCTTATTTCTCCCAATAAAAGTTTGAATTGGATACACAACACCATAACACAATCACATATTTTATGTTATCTAATTAAATACATGCAATAAATATATACATCTAATATAAATGTTCATGTAATGCAATCTATTATCCTTTCCAAGTGAGTTACTTTACATTCTAGACCTTTGCTATAGACCACACATATAATTTATGTCAAATTATAATTTCTAAGTATTGAAAAGTATTAGAAAGTTAATAATTTATAATTGGTACTTTTCTGAATCAAAAAAGTTAAAAATGAATGAACCACACTAATACATGGGATGTGACCTGTGAGTCCTAGTCCTTGAAAGTAGTTTTCCAATGTTGTCCTGTAGTTCTTTTTTAAATTTTTTTTACAAAGTTTGAATTTATCTTGGCATTTATCTTTTTGATATAAAACATGAAACCTAAGATAATAATGAACGAGGTTCAATTTTGATGCCGAAAGGTGTAATTCATCATGGCTGCAATGACAGTCAGGTGTACAGTATAAAGTTACTGAAAGGCGACACATGCTGCATCGAGGTTGAAGATGTTTTCTGATCCTCTATAATTACCTTAAAAAATAGCATTTTAAAAAATTATCATAGTAGCCAAACTAATTCCTCCAAAGATGAAACATGAATGAAATACCAATATAGGTCTTAGCTGCTTAATCCTTTAATAAGTGAATAGAAATCACCATGGATTTATGTTTTGAAATATGCTTATTTCTCCCCCTACACCTAGGAATTTTCTAGGTATGTTTCTAAATCTTCAACATTTAGCTCATAAATTGTTATTAGTTATCTAAGCATTCTAGTAGCCTACTGTAAGCCACGGAAGAGCAAAACAGTTGAAATACAGAAACAATTAATACACAGGAGTGGGTCCAAGGGAGTAAACAGGTAACAAATCATTTCAATATAACATACTAGAAGAGTCAGTGATAGTAATACGGATAAGCTATGGGAGGGAAGAAGATGGAGATTTTGCTTCTGACTAGGAGACTTGAAGAATTCACCAGAGGGCTGACATTAAAGGAATTTAAGAAATGTCAATGAGTTTCCCCTGAGAGTTCTTTAAAGGTTGTTGGTGGTAGTATGTGAGAAATGATGATATGTATTTTAGAAAACAGAAGACAGATTTGAGAGGCATTTTTAGGATTGAATGACAGGATATATAATTTACTCGATATGGAACATGAAGCAGAGTGAAGAATAAAGGATAATTTCCAGAGTTCTATCTTGGGCAAAGTAGATATTATGGAAGTAACTAAATTAGGGGCTGGGTTGGAGAAAGTAATGAATTTGACATTGGACATGGGAAGTTTTGGATGCCATAGGGCATTTGGCAGATATGTCAAGGAGGCAGTTAGATACATGAGGTTGGAGCTTAGAAAGAAGTAGTTAGAAATGCATTATCTGATATAGTAACCACTAGTCACTTGCGGATTTAAATTAAATTATAAAATAAATAAAATTAGAATTTCATTTCCTCAGTCTGATTAGTCACAATTCACATGCTTAGTGATCACATATTGCTAGTGGCTACTGCATTGGATAGCACAGATTATAGAACATTTTTATTATCACCAGTGATGCAGATGATGCTACCCTGGCAATATTCATGCACGGGAAGAAGAGTGAAAAGGGAGAGGACCAAAGACTCAGGGTAGAGTGGTTCATGGAATCCATAGGAAAAGAATTCTATAAGAAGAAAATATTCAAAAGCATATTCACCCACCACTTCACACCCATTAGGATGGCTACTGTGAAAAAACAAAATAAAACAAAACAGAAAATAAGTGTTGGCGAAGATGTGGAGAAATTAGAACATTTGTGCCTTGATGGTGAGAATATAAAATGGTACAGCTGCTGTGGAAAACAGTATAGTGGTCCCTCAAAAAATTAAAAATAGAATTACCACATAATATACGAATTTCATTTCTGGATATATACCCCACAGAATGAAAAGTGGAGTCTCGAAGAGATATTTGTACACCCATGTTGGTAGCAGCATTATTCACAATAGCTAAAATGTAGAAACAACCCAAGTGTCCATAGATGGATGAATGGATAAGCAAAATATAGTATAGAAATAGAAAGGAATATTGTTCAATCTTAAAAAGGAAGGAAATTATGACATATGCTACAACGTGGATGAAACTTGAGGACATTGCACTAAGTGAAATAAACCAATCACAAAAAGAAAAATTAC